GCATGCTGGGGCCGCCCGACGAAGAGGAGGGCGGCGAGGCGCCTGCCCCTGGCGGCAGCGGCGAAGGCGAAGGCGGCGCGGGCGCCGCCGCTGCGGATTCACCAGGCGGCCCGGGGCCAGGGCCCTCCGAGGGCGGCCCTCCCGCGGCCGAGGGGCGGCACGCCGCGGGAGGCGCCCCGCCGCGGCAGCGCGCCGCGCGCAAGCCGCGGCAGCAGCCGCCGCCCGCGGCAGGAGAGGGGCGCTTCGCTGGGCTGGGAGACTGGCGGCAGAAGGGGGCCGCAAAGCGCAAGGCGCCAGCCGGGCCCGAGTGAACAGGGGTGATTCGGGGAGCTGCGCGGTGATCAGCTGCGTAGCAGTGCGGTGTAAACGTCTGCTCGGTGATTTCGGTCCCCCCCCACGATCGCATGTTCAGGCTATGGTCCCCCTACATGTCAGGGGGGTTGCGGTGCTCTACTATACGCAGCCTGCCAGCCGGCCTGTGACAGCCCGCAAAACGATACAACTTACAGGCGGCCCCAAGGTGGGGCAGAGCAACATAACGCCGCGGGCCGTGGGGGTGCCATTCACACCTTTACCTGGTCCGAGACTCTTGCAGGCGCAAGCATTGGTCGTCGCCTTTCGACGACCTGTTGACTCACCATGTGAGGCACGCACACACGAGGCGGACCCAAACGTCTGCGGTCAACGGCGGCAAAAGCGCACTCACTCATCATCCTGTGAAGCAGCTGAGAGGCTGGGAAAACAGTGTGTGCATACAAGTGTCGGTCTGCACAAAGCGGGTAGGCAAACCTTGCAGCACGGCAGCAAAACAACGGCGGATCTCCCTGAAAGCGGGGCAGCCTCTCGCGGTTCTGCAGTGGGCTCTGTGAGGGCTGTACAAGGAGCCCTTTGATATGGGCAGGGCGAGTGCGCTTGGAAGGGTGGGTGGGGGAAGAGCTAGGATATTTGCACGGCAGTCACATTGTTGGCAAAACGGCGGCCCACGGCTGACGGGGGTGCGGGCAGTCACTGAGCTGCGAGGATGCAGGTAGGATCCTTGCAATGCATCGATGAAAATCAAAGCGGCAAAAGGGTGCACGGAAGGCTACTCATGTTGAATGCAGCCTATCAAAGCAGTATGGCAAGGCAACAACACGCAATGGGGCGTGACCCTCGAAAGCCTCGAGATCCTCCTGGGATCCAGGTGCCCCCACATATTCCAGAGAGGGGGCCGCAGCCGGGGCTGGGGATGGGTGATGAGGTGAATGTGGCCCGCCATGCGGGGGCAAGCGGGCGCGAAGCACAAGCTGCACGACATGTAAGTGCGGGCGATATACATACGCAGGCGCTGCTGCTCGCGTAGCCGCTGCCGCGTCGCGGCTTGGGATGGAAGGGTGCCACCAGCAGCCGAGCCGAGGGCAAGTTCGCGGTTCTGGGGCGTGGCCGCGCGCCGGCGCGCCGCGCGCGTGGGGACCACTGCAAGTTTTCCGGGCGCTGGGCAACCGAATGAGCGTTCTTTCGTTGAGGGGAGGAGGGGGCGCGGGAGACGCAGCGCCCTGGCCGCAAACAGGCGCGAGGCCACGAAACTCAAAAACGTCACATAGGTGCGAAGTTTTATATCAAAGAGAACAACGCCCGCAAGTCCTAGCTTGCTAGTGGCAGCGTGTGGGGCGGCGCAGACCCCGTGCAAGTCGAAGCGGCGGCGCTGGTCAACGCGAGAGCTCGCTGGATGCAAGCCGAAGCAGCAGAAAGGGGGGCGTTTCGTATGCCTCCCATTGGAAGCCTAATCCACCAGAGAATCCTGTCAGCAAGAAAAAGCAGCGGGAAAGCACAAACAGCAAGGGAAACGTAAGCATCGGCTGCGACTGCGTGCTGCGAGTAAGGCGGCCTGTCGTTCGCAATGGGCGCTGGTGCGCAGCGGGCGCCGGGCCGGCCAGGTACTTGGCAATCTCTGAAACCCCCCAACACGTCGGTCCACCAAATGCAAGCAAGTGAAGCCGCCTCGCTGCTGCCCAGCTGCCTTGTGGCAGCTGATTGGACGCCACGTGTGCACTTGGAGATAACAGCGCACCTAGCCTACAGCGCATGGCGCCAGTAATGACCACCAACGGCGCGCCATGCTGCTCGAAAACGGGCGTTGGATTAGTCTCGAGACGCAAATCGCCATCACGCTTTCTGGGGGCGGCAAGGAGGGGCCTGGGTGGTGTGTCGTGGAACCGTGATGTGTCGAGACAAAAAGCAAGGGCCGCAGATGGACAGGACCCGCTGTGTTCTTTATCAGTGTGCCATGGGTGCGCATAGAGTGCTGAGGCTGGTGCTAGGTACGCCGTGCCTCCCCAAATTGCGAAACAGGGGTCAAGTGCCGCCTCGGGCAGGGATGTTGACTCCACCACAAGGCAGCCCTGGCGCCCTAAACCTTGAGCAGCCTTGCAACGAGTGCCCGAAATCTTGTTGAGTTCGCAATCTTGATTCGAGGCGCAGGGGGGATGGTCTAAGGGGGGTCATGCGGCCGCGCTTGGACGCGTCCGCCACTTGGACGAGTGAGCGCCCGCCCGCACCCGCGCCGCAGGCGGCGCCTGGCGCCGCGCGGCGCGCCACCTGCCGCCATGCAATGCGTGCCGCTGAGGGCGGCAGGCGGCCGCGCCGCAGCGGACTGCTGATGCCGCTTGCTTTATTAGGGCACTGGAGGTGCCATGGCTCAACGGATGAGGTATCTAGACCCTCGTGAGCAGGGTGACACTGACTTCCTGGTAGTCTGGTAGAATTCCCGCCAGCGCCAGGTCAGCGCTCTGGCTGATGGCGGGGTCCTGGGAGGGATGAAAGGGAGTGTGAGGTGGGTGGAGGGGGTGGGTTAGTGGGGTAGGTCGTGAGCGGAAGGGGGGTGGAGCGTTGGATGCAGTTGGGG